ATGTCTTCCAACTCCACGTCTTCTCTCCCTTTTATTTACTGGCTTATGATAGTTAGTTTAGGACATCATGTTTTGTTTAGCATACTTCATGTTTGTATCTATTGCCTTGCATGTATTGAGCTCGGCACATCATTCTAACTTGCATTGATAGTTTTAAATACTTCTTTGAATACGTGCTTAGACCGCATGCTACCAAATCAATTCATATGTCATCTTAGTAGCCGAGCTTAGTAATTGCATATCGCATGTGTTGCATTAGTCATATCACATAGTTAGGATCATGCATTTTTCTAACTCTTTATCCTTTTGGCTTGGAGTACTAGGTGAGCCTTTACTTGCTTTAGTATATCGTATGCGTGCGATTGTTGCCATGTTTAGCATGTTCACCATAAGGCTAAGGGCTTAAGTGATAAACTGTTTGAATGCCTGTGGATGAAGGCTAGTTGCTTGAATTGGAATATTTCGATTAATGTCTATTTTAAGCCCAATTTTTTAAGTGGCACATTCACAATTTCTTTTCAAAAAACAAACATGAAATCAACTGTTCCAATTTTTACAAATTAGTCTATACTTGTGTACGCGTCACATAGTAAGTTAGCCTAATAAATTGGAATAAGAGCATATAATGTAAATAAGAATCATCTCATGTTTAGTAGAAGCCAATCTTTGATCGGGCGAGCGGGGTGCTCAATTCATAACTTTCTCCTCTCGTACCTAAGTTCCCGAGCCGAGACAATATTGGTGATGACGGACACGTGGCCTTTGGCACGAGTCATGGGTTTCCTAAATTTCTCAAAAATATTTAGGTGGCGACCCTGTATCTAGCAAAGTAGTCCATTTTTGGCAATTTGATTCAAAATCGATTTTTCAAAAGATTTGCTGGATTTGGACTCTTTGGTGTTAGTCTATTTCACATTGGACTTGTGAGATCAGATTTAGAATCGTGGGAATCCGATACTATAGGGCTATTCATCTTCCGAAAGGAGCGCGGAAGGTCGAGCTACACCCACGTAAAGGTACAACCATAGTGCAATAGCTCCAAGATACAAACCAAGAGCTCACAGACTTCCTCATCCGATGCTCACGTTCACCAGGAAGATATGAACGAGTCACAAATCATAGTTGTCCAAAAATACAAAAGATAGATCAAACTATACTCTTCAACAAAATCTCAATATATATTATACTCATGTATACTCTTGTCTGTCTCTTATGTACCCTTCATCTTTAGAAAACATAAAAATATAAGTGAAAATCTTATAAGAATTAATACTAACATTTAATCATTACATACTTATAATAATAAAACTTAATAATAACTTTGTAACTGAAATGTTTAGAACCAATATTAATATTAATAACGGTAAAATAAATTAAAAGCTTCTATAAATACTTACTAAACATCATCAAATAAGCATAAGAAAAATATGCCACTAAACCAAACAAAACGATATCAACATGGAAAATAAATACCAATAGAGAATGCATAGAAAACTATCAGACCAATAAGCATAATTTACCTTGGCTAAGTGTTAATTTTTGGCCTACTAATTAGTACGTCAGGATGGCCGACCCCATCTTAGACACAATTGAAATTCCATAGCACCACCATCAACAACATCGGCATCTTGACGTCAAAGGTAATATAATGCCTAAACCAGCACAAACTGCCATGTTTGCCTTCACAACTTTCACGAACTCCAGATTCCTATTCTGCACACATATTTTTCCACATATATTATGAACAAAGGCTAATTAAAAGCGTTGTGTTATAATATACATAGGGTTTGGCGAGCATTTTAGCTTGATAGGCCTATTTTGAGACCAATTTTAGTAATCTTAACTGTTCACATTTCGACACTTCATTAAGTAAAATATTTATGTAAAAAATCAAAATGATTGAATCATATTTGTTTGGGAGATTTGGTCAAAGCCCCCTCATAATAATAAAACTTTAATACATTAATGACAAGCACAAAAAAATTTCATTGAAAAGTCTAATACATACCATTATTACTAAATTATTAAACTTTAAAATAATATAACTTTTTATCTAGAAGTAATTTTTTTAATAAAATTAGTACTTTTGGAATCTTCTCATCAAAATCTATCAAATAAGATCCATTTTGACTATGAAATTCTTAAAATAATAATATTAATTTATTACCGTCGAAATTGATGTAAATAGTAACATGTTACTCTGTTTGACAGTAACATGTCACTGTGTCTCACAGTAACATATTACTCTGACAATATTGTTTAAGAAAAAAAGAAAAAGATATTTTACTTTATTCTTGTTCAATCGTGCCTCTTCCTTAAGGGATTTATGAAGCAAAATATATTGGACTGTCATTTTCATCAAACAAGAGTCAAATTGAGGGGTTGTGACTAAATTTTCCTATTTGTTTTACAAAAATAGACGACAAAAATAATTTCAAAAATAAGTATTCATTTTTTGTAATACAAATTTGATTTAAAAATATAATTATCGATATCCGATCATCTCATATTTTAGTATTTTATACAAGGATTGCAGTGTAAAAAAAAAAAAATCAAATTGAAGGGTGTAATGAGTTGAATTAGTGGTGTAAATAGAATTACCCTTTACTTTTTCAGGAAACTAAACTTATTCTAAATAATGGTGTTTTAGATACTCCTATTAGTTTCGATAGAAAAATTAACGGTAACTGTAACGCCCTCAATTTCATAAGACCCGACTTGTCCATATTCATTATACACTCCAATTATCAATTGTATTAATCATCTGGAAGTGATAAATTATCTCTAACACATTGTTAATCATATTATAGTAAATCTCCACTTTCGATTATATTTCATTCAATCCATTATAAGATTACAAAAGGTCAATTACATGTGAATATACATTCATAATCTTTAAGACTTGAATCTATAACATATAATATAATAGCTACGAAAGTAAATAACATCCAAATAAACGTCCTATAGACTTATAAATACTAATGGACTTAGAAAAAAAAAATCCCCAATAAAAAATGGGTTATTTTTCGAGTTCCATAACTGATTATTTTATTAGTTTAAAGACAATTAAAACATACTTGTTAATTTGAGGACACAATTTTTTTTGGATAAAATTATCCTTAATGTAGTTTTATTACTCAGTTACCTTTGACTTCCATCAACAATCATCGATTGCTGGTGTCCATCGTCGATTACATGTGACCTCTTTCTAATGCGACTTTATAGTAAAGTGAAATTTCATTGATTGCCACACAAGGTTAGAAATTTCACTATCTTTAAATTAGTGAAATTGCTTTGACCAATATCACTAAAATTGTAAAAGATTGGAAAAATTCCATTATTTGGAAATTCACTAAATAAAGTGTACTTATTTTTTTTATAAGTGTATTTTTATTTGGGTTATATCACCTCTTTATTTTTTAACACATTTTTTCTTAAAAAGTCTAAAAATGCACTAAATAAACAAACTCCAAACAACCCTAACACCAATTAAATTTTCATTATGTTAGTGAAATTTCACTAACTAATTCAATTAAAGCTTAATATAAAATTTAAATGTCTTTACATTTACAATGAAACTTTTCACAGTGAAATTTTATTGACAAAGAATATCTTATGGATTAATTAAGATACCAGTACATGAAAAAGAAAATTTTCAATAAATTCTTCTTTAATTTAGTTGTATTTTATATTTTATTTCCATTCTTAATTATACTGAAGTCTTAAATCACGAGAGAGTAAAATACAATTTTGAAAAGGTTGGTCTGGTGGTCTAGATGTAAGATATGAAGGTGTGCATTCTCTATGGTTTGTAAGTGCATATAATTTTTTGAGGATAGGGCCAAAAGTCCCGACTTTAATTAAACACATTAGTGGATGATGAAATTAGTCAGTTTAGCTTCTCTATCGATAGCCATTACCAGCAAACGAAGTTCTTCGAAGTCCTTAGCTTCTCTCTTCGACCGTGACCAGCAAACTAAGCAAACAGAGCTCTCACCTCTCCCTTTGACCGAAGCTCTTGCACCTTTCCTTTCCACCACCCAATTTCAGGTACATGTACAGTACTGGATTAAGCTTACAGCCTATTTTATTTTGTATCTGGTCTGGTGTATTTTTTTTAGGTTGGGTTGAGCTCCCTTGTCCGTCGGTTGTCTAGGTTTTCATTGTCGTTCTCATATTATCTGTGCTGGAAGGTGTGTATGGCTTCCGATCTGTGCATTGAAAGGAACGATTACAAACGGGAGATTAGAGATTCACCGGCAAAGAAGCAAAGGTGCGAGGATTACGGTTCACCACCACCGCTTTGTTCATCAGCAGAAGAAGAAAAAGAAAAAGAAAAAGAAAAAGAAGACCCTAGATCAAAAGTTGTAGTCTATAACTACGATGATTCAGATGTGGAAGATGACAGTGATGGAAAGCATGAGTTTACTGATAGGGAATACCAAGAATATAATCGACAGATCACTGAAAGCGATGTAAGTGTGTGTTTGTTTTTGTTTTTGTTTTTGTGCGCTTTGATTCATTTATCTCAATTTTCTTCTCAATCATATATTAAATTACTACTACTACTACTACTACTACTACTACTACTACTACTACTACTACTACTATTATTATTATTATTATTATTATTATTATTATTATTATTATTATTATTATTATTATTATTATTGTTATTATTGTAATGTTAATTTGTGGGCTTTACATACATACATACATTAATTTCCTTTGCTTGCGGTACAACAGTCCCTCTTTATAATTTTGATGCAATTGCCGACGACCTCAAATCTTTTTCCGAATTAGCTCTTAAGGAATACAATGAGAAAGAGGTGTATCTCTTTATTCAATTGAAGTTTGTTTTGTTTTGTTTGTTATGTGTGTGCTTTTTTTTTTTTTGATTGAGAATATATATATGTAACATCTATACATATATTAGACAATGTTTTTAATTAGCTTTGTATGGTAAAATATGTGTCTAGCATACGAATTTGGAGTTTGTGAAGGTTGTCAAGGTAAACCTCGCTGGTGTTGCTGGTTTTTTGTATTATATTACCTTTGATGTCAGGGATGCTGCTACGGTTGATGGTGGTACTATGGAATTTCAAGCTTTTGTCTGGGATGGGATTGCCCACACTGAAGTAGTCATTTCTAGGCTGAAATCTAGCACATAATCGAGGTAAATTAACTACTTTGGGTATATCATTAGTACCTATGTAATGATGTTTATTGGTCTGGCACCTTTCCATGCCTTCTCTGTTGGCATTTATGCTGCTTTTATATCAATTATATTCCGTGTTGATATCAAGTTTTGTTTGCTTTGGTGGCATATTTGTCCTAATGGAATTGTGTGGTAATTGATCGGTTCAATACCTTTTGTGTTTAATATGAATCAAGCTTGAAACAAAGGCTGATTGGGCTGGATCAATAATAGATGGGAGGGGGGACTTCAATCTGTTGTTAGGTACACTTGTATAGGGTGTTGTGTTGCAGCAAGAAATGGGTCATACTCATTTAGTTTTGTAGGATTAGGGACCTTAGGAACCAAGTGATTAGAGTAGAGGTAATTTCTTTCAAGATAGCATCACCAGAATTGAAAAAAAAGAAAAGAAAATGAAAGATGTAATAGAATAAAATACGTTGTTATAAATGACAGGCCAAGCTATCTTGAAGAACATGGCACAATAGCCATTGGGGCCAGGAGATTTCTCATCTTTGAGAGAGAACTATGTTTCTTTAATCCCTTCAACGGCAACATCCATGTCCAATTTTTGTTTCTGTGCATCATTTAGTTGATCACTTTTAGTACAAGTTCATGTCTTCTATGCTTGCCTAGCACGGCCTCCATTATAGCCTAGCAGGTTCTGAAAATAGGTAATAATCTTAGCATTTACTTGGCATCATCAGTAATGGAAACTCCATCATCCCTTGTTATACCCATAATCATATTTCTGCCCCTTCTTTGATTGATAACTTGAAAAATAATGGAGTTTTTTTTCTCCTTGCCGAGGGCTTGTGCACTCCTGGGGATTAGTCGGGCTTTGATCCAGACATCCCATTGCCAATCAAAATAAAAAATAAAAATGAAAAATAATGGATTGTTTTGGTCCCCCAAATTGAGCCGTTGAACTCAAGCCTTCTGCTTTAGTGTGCTGTCCTCATTCCGGCATAGCTCATTACATATAGTTGCTTTTTTCTCTACCCCAATCAAATCTGCATCATTGGGGTTGGTATCAAAACTTTTATGGGCTGCCTGAAATTTGAGATCTAACTTTCTCCACCTTCTTTGAGATGTCACCATAGTTAAATTGGTTTAGCTTCTTCAATTCAACTTTTAGCATTTTCAGCTTTTGGCATAGAGAAAACATGGGAGTGCCCCGAACATGGTTTCTCCAAACCCTGGCAATAATAACCAAGAATTGAGGGTGGTCAACCCAACAGCCGAAAAATGTGAACTTCTTCTTTTGCTTAATAGGGGCAGGCAACACTTTAACCTAGATAGGGCTATGATGGTCACATATTCCTGCAGGGAGGAATTTTGCCTCAGCCATTAGGACTTTCATGGTCCAAGCCTCATTGATGAGAGCTCTATCATTCTCCCGAAGCACCTGACCATTTGCTCATGCGAATTGCTTTCCTTAATATTTAAGATCATCGAACTCAGCCCTCACAAATCAGTCATTGGAGTCGTGCATGTACCTGGGCCATTTAACAGAGCCCCACAAACCTACCATGGGTGCTGGTCATTCATGGTAATGCACATTACATTCAGCATATCTTGATCCCATAGGATCCATATTCTTTCAAAAGTGGATCATTGTAATTGGACACCTTTTTCAGCTTCTATTAATAAATTCAAAAGCCATATCCTTATTTACACTTCTAACTTTAGTTTCCAACTAAAAAGTACGGATACAGACGCGGACACGGACACAGACACAGACACACGGACATGCCAATTTTAAAAAATGTAGGACATTTTTATTATATGACATTTTTAAATATTATATTAGTGGTTGTAGGACAATTTTTCTATATAACGTGTTTCATGTGTTTAAGAGTTAGGAAGTGTTCGACTAGTGTCGTGTCGGTAGAATTCTATTAATAAATTCAAAGGCCATATCCTTATTTACACTTCTAACTTTAGTTTCCAACTAAAAAGTACGGATACAGACGCGGACACGGACACGGACACAGACACACGGACATGCCAATTTTAAAAAATGTAGGACATTTTTATTATATGACATTTTTAAATATTATATTAGTGGTTGTAGGACAATTTTTCTATATAACGTGTTTCATGTGTTTAAGAGTTAGGAAGTGTTCGACTAGTGTCGTGTCGGTAGAAGTGTTCATACTTCTTCGATACACATATATATGCAAATTGTAGCAATTATATATGCACTGGTATACATATACATATATCCAATTGGTATGTGCGGAATGACAAGGGAATCCCAAAATGCAATACTTGTTATATACAAATTATACTTGGCAAATAGAGAGCTACATCCAAAACCAGAATAAGAGAGACCATTAATTTGAAATGGGTACCTTTTTGATTGGCACCGGGGTGTCCGAATCAAAACCTAACTAATCCCTAAGGGTGCACAGGCCCTCAGCAAGGAGTTTCTTGCAAGTGCACCACAGTTAATTCAAGAGTTTTGCCCCAGTCAAATGGTCTTAAGGAATTGTTAGCACCTAAGAGGCTCCGACCCCTAAACCTTGGAGAGAGTATACCCTCAAGACCTAAGGCCTTGCTACCAGGCCAACCCCTTGGGTTTTTTTTTTGAAATGGGTACATTGTCCACGAAGGCATCATCAAAAGTAGAGTGCCAATCATTATAGTTGGGGTGCCAATCATCAAAAATAGGCATCTCGAGGGCTGAGACAAGGAGATCCTTTTATCTCCTTTTCTCTTCATTTTGGTAGTGGATGTGTTAGGAAGGATGGTGGATAGGGCTAATGAGGCAGGTCTGTTTGAAGGCTTACAAGTCGGTAGAGATAGGACTAGTTTGACACATCTGCAGTTTGCGGATGACACTATTTTCTTCTCTACGGGGGACGAGAGTCAAATGGTTAACCTCTTTTCGGTGGTGAGGCTTTCTGAGGTGCTCTCAGGTCTTAGGGTAAATTTAGAGAAAAGTAGTGTAGCAGGTATTAATGCAGATTTAAGTAAGATTCAGTGAGTGGTTGAGCTACTCGGCTGTGGTATTGAGACATTTCCAATGAGGTATTTGGGACTCCTATTGGGAGGGGGGTAACCCAAGAGGTAAAGTGTTTTGAAATCCAATTGTGGAAAAGATAGGTAAGAGGTTAGAAGGGTGGAGTAGGGATTTTACTCTCCCGAGGGGGTAGGTACACGTCGGTTAAGACAATGCTAAGTCGAATTCCAATTTATTTCTTTCATTTGTTCAAGATTCCGGTCAAGGTGGCAAAACCTCTAGAAAAGTTAATGCGGGATTTTCTCTAGGAAGGGGAGAGAAGGGAAGGTTGAAGGAAAGAAGGATTATGTGATGAAATGGGAGACGATGTCCTTACCTAAGAAGAAAGAGGGGTTTGGCCATTGGTAATATTGTGGCTAGAAACATGGCTTTGCTGGTAAGTGGTTATGGAGATTTCCAATTGAGTGTGACTCACTATGGCATGCGGTTATTAAAAGTAAATATGGGACTCATGTTAATGGTAGGGACTTAGGTGGTCACTAGGGGTAATGAGCGTGCTCCTTGGAAATCAATTTCTCAAATTTATCTAGTCTGGTCTCGATCCATTTTTGTGAGGGTGGGTAATGAGGAAGTGGCCAAATTTTGGGAGGATGCTTGGGTGGGTTCTTCTTCCTTTGCGGTGCCCTTTCCACTTTTGTATAGAGTTTCTTAGTCTCATAATTGTTTTATTGCGTCCATGTCATGTTCTTTGTTGGCTCTTTTTTCCTGGAATTTTAATTTTCTCAGGAATCTTCATGAGAGGGAAGTTCGGGAATTGGTATCTCTATTGTCAAGGCTCGAAAACGTTTCTTTGATTTCAAATTTGGAGGATCGGTGGGTTTGGAGTATTCATTTGTCGGGTTCTTTTACTTGTAAATCTTTTCTTGACAAAATCGTTGACAATCCTCATGTACCTCAATTTCTGTTTCATAAGAAGATTTGGAAGGCATGTGTTCCTCTTAAGATGAAGGTATTCATGTGGATCTTGGTTCAGGGAGGCATTTTGACAAATGATTCATTACAAAAGAGAAGACATTCGCGGTATCTTAATCCTCAATGGTGCATGTGTTGTAAGAGTGGAGAATCTCTGGATCATCTTTTTTTTTTTTTTTGCACTGCTCGTGGCTGGGCATTTGTGGCATAGGGTGTTTGGATTGGGCAATGTGATGTGGGTGGCCCCAAAAGGAAGTACTCAAATGATATATTTGATTTTCAAGTTTTGGGAAGGTAGAAGAGGGCTAAAGTTCTTTGGAGTTGTGTTGTCTTTGCAATTTTCTAGGTCATTTGGTTGGAAAGAAATGGGCGTGTCTTCGAAGGAGTTTCTCGTGATATAGATTTTTTATGGGAAAATGAGATACTTGGAGTCTTTTTGGGCCTCGGCGAGTTTAGTGTTCCGAGGGATTCCACTTTTTATGCTTGCTGCAGATTGGGTGTCAGTTTGTATTTTGTAGATGTCACTGAGTGTTTTTTTGTTTTTCTTTTCGCTATTTTTTCTTTCATGTAGAGGATGCCTCATCCTCACTTCTTTTTGGCCTTGTGCCTTAATATATCTTTGTTGTTGTTGATCAAAAAATAAAATAAAATAAAATAAAATCATTATAGTTGGGAAAAATGTTACATAAGAACTCTAAGGGTTAATGATTTCTCTATTAAATGAATCTAGGAAGCAACTGTACATTGGGTGGGGGTGGAAATGGAGGCTTTTATAAAGGAGAAGCCTGGACTGGAAGTCCTGGGACAAGGGTCTTCTTGGTGTGGATCTTTTGAAGAAGAATGGGAGGTAAGAAAGCAAATCAAAGAGGAATGATGAGGGAGGTGAGGGAGGAGGATGGACATGGCAGGAGAAGATGAAGATAACGATTAAATTTGACTTGATTAATTTTTTTTCATCGTATTCTCTTAACAAGTGCGTGTTTCACAATATCTATCTGTATAGACGGAAAATGTAATGGTAGCACTTTAGTGCCAAAAT